CCTTCGATTTGTATGAAATTGCCTGATGAAGAGATCCGTTGGCCGATTTTACCGAAAGATGACGACGGATTGATATTGTTCTGCGACCATTTTATTTTAATACCACATTCAGGTTGACGTAGTGCACGAGACATGCTTCCTGGTTTCGGATGAAACCGGAAGAAGGCTTTCGTCCATATTTCATGTAGACTGTGCCAATATGAACGCCGTATTAAAGCCAAACGGCTGCAGAACAACGAGAATGAAGCAATAAATCTCTTCATAATGCACTTACATACAAAATTAAGATCTTCCCAGCAATGCTAATTGATTAAGTACTAAATTTCACGCTCCGACGCTTGAACTTATGATAACTTCTATTTCAAATGACTCGGTCAAGGTGTAGCCAACCAAGTCCCCTGACTTCACGATCAAATGAGAAAACGAGTTCAAACCACTTGTTTACTACCGTTTGCCGCTTTTCAAAGAAATGTCGTCCAAACTAGATATTTCGCATATTCCTCGTTTCCTAATTATCCGCTCAATCCACCGATGCAGGAAAATATAAATTGTGCCCGCTTTACAGAGAAAAATGTGTCTCTTAAGCATAAATATGTGCGGAAAGGCATCTTTCGCAAATAAATAAACAATATCATCTGAAGGCTTAAGCAGAAAAGTGTTATATTTTGGTTCAGCAACTAAGAGTAATTTATTAGTTACCCATACGTCAATACTGGCATGTTAATACTTTTACACCGTGATGATAAATGTTCCTACAAATGAGTAAGAATTCAAATCACCCAAGTCACATAAGTTGATGAGCGTTTTTGATATATTTGAAACTCCCCGCATTGAGATGAGTAGTCTTTGGGTATTCAGTGAATTTACCTCATCCTGGCTTCTCAAAAGGTATTCTCATTCCGGCTGGACTGAACTGGTTTCATCACCACCTTTAGCAGGATTCGAGTCCGACTAGTGTAGAGTATGATATTGACTTTTATATACCATCTCAGACTGCTACAAATGCCTCTAGATCACGGGACAGATCTAAATTTCAGGAAACGCCAGGCCTTTCCTGTACCACATTTATAGTGGAAAAGTCGATGAGGCAAACTTGTATTTTGCTATTGCAATCAACTGTATTATTCGAATTCACAGTAAGTAGGTTTTCGAGATGATCAATAAATCTTGAATAGGATTTCCAGACCTAATCACCTCAGACAACCTAGGGTGACTAGAATTCTTATTCAAGATTGACTGATTATTTTGGAGTATAATTTATGCATCAAAAACACTTTCGACAATGAGTCTTTTCACCTTGTCCATGCTTACATTGTAATCACAAGAGATGATAAAGACTAAAATAAACCGTTATGCTATTTCTAAATTTCCCGAAAATAGGGTCTCTTTCTATGCCTAATTGCGAAAAACGAGATTTGTGTAAATCAAATGTATTAAATCCACTTAAGAGCTGAAATCTCTTTAGAAAGCCAAAGCGGAATTAGGTCCCTCTTGAGCTGAATTATATTCAATATGAGGGGTCTTGAGGTCGGTTGTGCGAAGTAAATTTCCACATTCACACGTGGCCTGGTGTGGGGGGGAAACTCCGGTGAGTAAACAATCATCTTCATCTGCTTTTCATGATACAGGTAGGCGAGCTCATTTCAATGTGATCATTGAAGTGGGAGTGGGGGTGTGCAGGTTTGGGCTGGTTGCTGTGTTACATTGAATGTAAGCTACTCACCATGAATTGGTGAGAAAGCCATGCATCCTAAAATGTTGTCCACCTATTCAGGCTGAACGATTGTGCTCAACTCACCTCTTCGTCTCATCAACTACCTCAGCAGGATTCGAAGCATGGACCTACACTCGTGGCACACACGTGTCACCCTAAGTTAGATGCCAGTGGCACCACTGTCCAACATGGCTAACATGACCTTCGAGGAGAAGAAAGACTTTTTCAGCCATCGCCACTTTACGGATAGGCAATCTTGTAGAACCGTAGATTCAGTTAAATACAGGTTTGTGCGTTAGTTACAGTTTGGCTTCGCAGCTATCAGGGGCTTTAAAGTTGTTCTCGCTACGACATTCCAAGTGTGGGAGCAGCTTGCTTTGGCTTTGAGGTTGTACTCGTCGCATAAGACACTGTGGACCTGGGGAAAAGTTCTGGTTCCTTGACCCTTGCCTCCACGGTTCGAGTCCAGCTGGAGAAGCCGATGAATCCGAGGCCATGTCGAAATAGCGTCCCAGTCTGCAAGAGGACTTTGGGAGAAATTCATCGCAAAAGTCAAGCTTTTTTTTCAATGCATCACTAACAGGCTCACTATCGCTGCAATAAAAAGCCTACCAGGACTGGCATATATCGGCGAATGTCGGCATGCCCCCAAATTCTTTATTTGGTTTGAGTATGTCTCGAGGCCATCAGTAATCCTAGGACAATAACTCATTTTATTGCGGGAAAAGCTCAATTATCAGTAACTAAAATCGCGTAAAGTGACAAAGTCCTTACTTTTGCATTGAGTCATTGTCTTTATCATCAATTGCAGCAATCACCAGACTACGGAAGTTGTTCAACCTGGTGCTCATCTTGCGTTTGGCAAACAGATAGCCGAAGTAGACGGCCGTATTGCGTCTTCCAGAGCGTCCACATTCATTCGAGAATGCGTTTTGACCCCTCTGAAAAGTTTTCAACAAGCCACACGAGGAGGAAAGAAGTCCGACACTGCTTGTTCCACAAACTTTATCTTGAAACCTCACGATAACCGATGTCTTATCGGCAGAGTGGGAACAAAAACTGACTTGTGGCAATTTGGCCAACACAGTTATCGACCCTGAAAAAGCTCAATTAGCGAGACATCTCCCTAACGAAAAGCGGTCGGAGGGGCAGAACACCAAGGCCCCGCGTCTTGCAGGCTGGTCTCCATCCCTCTTCCCAATCGTGCTGCTCACACATTCTCCCTGGGGACGAGATGAGGGTCAAAAACTCCCCATTTCTTCCGCGAAAACGATGAAGATAAATAGTTGCCTAGACTAACAGAGACTGCACAAGCTTGACCTTGACTGGGTCTGGCTGGTGATTGTCTTTCTCGCCGGGTCTAAGGGTCTGCTAGTCGTTGAGATGAGCCATCCCAACACTTGCTCTTGTCGTTGACTCGGCCTGGATGTGTCCTCAAGCCGAATTTCTCTGTGTCCAATATGGGGCGAGATGAGGGCGAAAACTCTCGGAAGCGTTACTTCTGGCTCTGGAGCTGGCAACGGGCATCTGGCAACTCGGGTAGCCTTGCCGTAGTGCTGAGTAGGTGTGCCAACCTCAGAACAGGATGCCTTGACCCGAGTTGGCCAACCAGGCAACATCGGCCTCTGAATTAGACTGAGGCCCAGGCTCGAGTGTAAGATCCGATGGATAAAAGAGGTGTATATACCCACACGCGCCTTGACATCCAGATTAAATAAAATTCCAGTCACCCTGGGAGGCATAAAGCGATGGAGGACTAATGGGAATACTTGCGAATATAATATAATAATAAATATAATAAAATGTAGATTTGATAATATGAATACTACTTTATATGATTATAAGTAATATTGCTGATTTCAATGCAAAATGGGAAAGGCCAGTTTTTTTTGAAATTGCCTTCTGTTTTGTGACACAGGGGCACTCGTGGCAGTCCATATTAGTCGTAAAAGGTCGAGATTATACTATCACAACGTGGGCTTGAGTCCCGCCACGGGTGATGATGACACCGAAGCATGGTAGAGACTCCAACCCAGTGCAGCATGGATGAAAATTGCCTTTTGGAAGAAAGACAATATAAAATTCATCGGAAACATGAAGCCTACCCACCGACATATCATTGAGGGGGAATACAGCTAACAGTCCTTATTCAAGAACTATTGGCTGTATT